GGGTTGTCCTCGAGGGAGAGCTGGAGCGCTCAGAGGAGAGGGCAGAGGTAGCAGAGAGGTGAGTTGGGCTCCCATTGGGCAGCATGAAGAGGTCCCACGTGGCCCTTGCCCTGACTCCCTAGCAGCTGGGGGTGGCTGTGTGTCTGTGTGGGAATGGGGATATCCTTCCCCAGGAACAGCAGGTTCTGCTGTCAGGGTGGTCCCTGGGCTCACAGGCTGGGGGCAGGGGGATTCCAACCTGCACATCCTTGACCCTGTTCTCTGCTGCCCCCCCACCATGGGGTGCTCCTCTTCTGCCCTAGCCGAGTGAGACAATTGGAAGAAAACCTGCGGACCATGGACCAGACTCTCAAATCCCTCATTGCCTCAGAGGAAGAGGTACTGGGGCAAGGGTGCAGGGCTATCCACAGCAAACCCCTCTCTCTGTCACTGTCTCTTAAACTGTGTGAGCCACCTCTCCTTTCTGCACTACTGCCTCTGCCACAACCTCCCCTTGCCTCCCGCTCTGGCAGATGCATCCCTCTGTGCCTGCCCTCCTTCTTGGCAGGGCTGGTGAGAGCCCAGCTGGCAGTGATGCGCAGGGTGTCTGTGCAAGGAGGCATGAGGAACAGATGAATAAATACATCTCAGCAGTTTCTGCTCGCAGTGGCTCTGTTCCTTCTGCACCTGCACTGCCTGAGTTTTCTCCTCCCTCAACTTGTTCTTTCTCTTTCTTTCCTCCTTCCCTACCCACTCTTTCTGCTCCTTCCTCTCACCTGCCCCTTGGCCCCACTCCCCCTTCTGCTGGCCCTGCTTGGGATGTAGTAAATGTGGTGATCTAGAGGAGGAGCTGAAAATTGTCACCAACAACTTGAAGTCTCTTAGAGGCACAGGCTGACAAGGTATGACCCAGAGGAGCTGCTGGGGCTGGGCAGAGTGCGCATGGTCTGGGGCTGCTGGGGTCCTCCACTGAAGTGAAGTATGGCCAGAGGTGTCCTGTGGGGCTCATGGCTGCCCATCTGTCTCTGCAGTATTCCACCAAGGAGGACAAGTATGAGGAGGAAATCAAGCTTCTAGGTGAAAAGCTGAAGGAGGTAAGGGGTGTGGGGCTGGGACCCCCAAGAGAGGGGCTGGCACTGCATCAGTGCAGGCACGAGTTTGCCATCCCCTGTGGATTTTGACCCTGTTACACCCATGTCCTCTCACCCTTTCCCAAATTGTGGCCTTGCAGCATGGCAGATGTCTGGGTCTGGGATGCCCCCATGGGATCCTGATACCCCAGAGAGGGGCCCTGGCCCATCTGAAGGACTGGTGTTTGCATCCCCAGGGAGCATAGTCCCACTGGAGTTGCATCCTGCAGCCTCATACTGCACTCTGCTCCTCTGCTTGCCTCTGCCCCGTGTGGTGTCCTTCTCCCAGGACATGCGCTGGCAGGAGCTCATGCCCTGCACACACCAACTTCAAGCCATGTCTGTTTTGAAGTGATCAGTCCAGTGTTGGTTGCACACACAACCTATGAAGTGTGTGGGCTCCCATGATGCTTTTGGTGGTCAGGAGAGATTGGGATCAACAGAAAGCCCAACATGGAGGCACTTTGCCCAGCTGACTCCTTTGAGGACAAGTTCTCACCCCTGCTGTTAGTTTAGGGCATGGGGGTCCATGGGGCCTTTGTCTCTTGCCTTTCCCAGGGGAGGGTGCATGGGGGGGGAAATACGGGAGATGCAGATGAGGCAGATTTGGGGTGCAGTGAAGCATGCTCCATCCCTGTTGTACCCTGCAGCTTACCCTCTCTCCCCTGCACTCCCGTAGGCTGAGACCCGTGCGGAGTTTGCAGAGCAGTCTGTGGCGAAGCTGGAGAAAACCATCGATGATCTAGAAGGTAAAGCGTCCTCACTGTCCCTGTGTCGCTCTTTCCCAGGGAGCACTGCCCAAGATGTGGCCCCAGCAGGGCCAGACAGGGCTTGGCCAGGGTGAGGGGCTGGGCAGGGGTCCTGGAAGCAGGTAGGCTGGATGCTGTGGTGTCCAGTGCAGGGGCACAGAGATGCTGCAATCTGTGGCTCTGCCTTCAGGTGGGGAATAAGGCTTCATCCACATCACCTGTGTCCACATGCTCCTGCTGTCCTTGGCCCCCTGCTCACAGCCACCCTCTCTCTCTTTGCTGCCCATCCCCCATCCTTACTCTACTGCCTGCCACCCACCCACCCCCTGCCTGCCTGCAGATGAAGTGTATGCACAGAAGATGAAGTACAAATCCATCAGCAAGGAGCTGGACAATGCACTTAATGACATCACCTCCCTCTGAGCCCCCCACTGGGTGCTAGCACCGCACCCCCTCCCCTGCTCAGCCACTTACCTGCCTGGCCATCCCACCTTTCTCTCTCCCTGCCTGCTCTGTCCCCTCTGTCCTTCCCAGCCCCTGCCTGTCCATCATCTCCTTTGGGACAGGAGCCAAGCCAGGTTGTTCTCACAATACCCCTCTCTGTGGGGAGACAAGGTGTAAGTGTTTAGGGGCATTTGGCTGGGAAGGGGAACAGCAACCAGGACCCCCTCATGCTGGGTTTGGTGCCCATGCAATTGCAGGTTCGTCCCACAGCATTACCTGGCAGGAAACAGCTGTGCCTAGGAGTCCTTTGCTTCAGCAGCTCCCTCCTCAGCTCCCTGGTAGCATAAGCACCAGGGGACATCTGCCCCCCACATTCCTCCAGCAAAGCCCCCTGGTTCTGCTTGCTGAGCCCAGGGCAGAGGGAGGGGGTACCTGCACAGGGGAAGTGGCACCTCCACCACCAAAACAGATGAAGGCTTAGGCATGCAGGACGGAGGGGAGAGGTAGGTTGTGTAGGCAGCCTGTCCCCAGGCAGACAGTCCCCAGGCCCCTGCTCATCCCTTTCCTCTGACTCCCTTCTATCCTTTGCACATTGCTGTTCAGTTTACATTTCGTGACTTTTTTTTTTGTTCTGTCCCCCTGAGTTGGTCTCAATAAAGCATTTTCTTTCCTCCATTTCTCCTTTGTTTTCTTCATGCGACTCTGTCCCTCATCTGCCTGTTTCATGCAAGTGCTGGCAGCTGGGTGGTAGGAGGTGGTTGCAGGCAGTTGGCAGCTGCAGGACCCCTGGAACAGCCCCGGCTGAACCCTGAGCAGCTCCCATGCTGCCAGGCTGAGTGGGACAGGGCCCTTTGTGCCTCCACCCACTGGATGACCCCCACCACCCCCTGGCTCTCTGACACAGCTTTCCTCATCTCATGCCATCTTCTTTATGACTCTTTTGACATGAAATATCAGGGTTAGACCTGGTCCTGTCCATTTTCTGTCCTCACTCCCAGACATTGCCCACAAGCAGCAGTCCCTGGCATCATTCCTTCATCACCCTCCCACACCAAAGAGGATAACCCTACCTTTCAGCAGTGATCCCTGGCCCTAAATGGGACCCTGATCCTCATTCTCCTTCCTCAGCATTCTACCCTGCCCCACAACTCTGTCCCTGAATTGATGGACCCACGGCCCTGTTCCTGCCCAAAGACTGGCTGCCTCTTCCTGCTGGCCCAGCTCATTCCCAGTTGCTGTCTGGGAAGCAGCAGGGTTTCCAGCAAGGGCTTTGTGGAATGCTGTCTCTTTTGACTAACTTGCCTTTCTTTCTTCCCTCTGCTACACTGACCTCTCCTTTTGTTTAGAACATTCCCATCAGGAGGCCAAGAGAAACCACATTCTCACTAAAAAGCTGCAAGTCATCCTTACCGAACTTAAAAACTGAGCTGTTGACAACTCCCAGCCCAGCCCAGCCCAGCCAGACTCCCGCACCCAGGCTGCCACCCCCACTCCCTGCCCTATGCCAGGCTGGCTCGAGGATGGGAGTGCCTCCCCACTCCCTGCTGGGGTTAGGAAGTGCATTGGAGCCTTTGCTTATCCCCCTGGGTTGGGAAGTCCTCTGAAGCTGATCAGTTTTTCTTGGGAGGGAGGGAAACGAGGGGTTTTTTGATGTCCTGGGATACCTATGCAGTGATGGCTATCCCCCAGAATCAGTCTAGCCCTGCCAGGGAGGGATGAGGTAGCTTGTATCGCTGCCTTCCTTCCCTTGTCCCAGGGGTTGGCAGCCAGCCTCTTCTTTCCCCTCACTCTGGTCATCCCAGACTATGCATGGAGGATCCCTTCAGAACGGGGTCCCTGCAGGGTACTGTGAGGGCTGGGAAAGGATCTGGGGACCTGGTAGCACCCATTACTCCAAACCTGAGATAGGGAAGAGCCTGACCAGGAGCTCTGGGAGACAGGGCTGGGTGGGCAGAGCTCTCATCCCATTCCTATCTCCAGAGGGAAGGACAATGCTGTTTGGAAGTGAGTGCAGGAGGAGGCTGCCTTGGCAGCTGGGTTGTCCAGCAGAACTCATCCTTGAAGTCTTAGCTCTGCTCCTTCTCTCTCTGCTGTTCTCTTTGCTCACCTTCCCAGGCTGCTGCCTCACTGTCTTCTTGACAAAGCACCTCTGGGTCATGCAGCAGGCACTGGCTCTCTGCTTTTGCGGGCTGAGGGTTTGTGTGTGAGCCCACAGCCAAATGGTGCTGATGCTGTGGAAGAATGTGCAGTGAGCATAGCAGGGAGACGGGGCCGTACTGGTGGCTGGCTGGGGAAGGGGTATCTATCAGTGGTATCCATGCTGTGGAGGGCCTGGCTGTGAGCAATGAGGTGCCATGGGAGGATGGAAATGCCAAAGAGTGGGGACCATCCACCCTGAGTGACTGGCCTGGCTGGCCTGGCTGCCTTGGTAGGTCCCAGAGTGGCTAGACATCCTTGCCAGTGGTGGGGCTGCATGCACCACAGGGACAACCCGTGCAGCTGGAGGCTGGTGCCATACTGAAATGTCTGTTTGTGTGTGTCTGTGCTTAGTGTGGTGTGTGTGGGTCTGACTGTGCCTGGGTATGCTCTGGTTGTGTCCCTTGTGTTCACAGAGAGTCTGGCCAGTGCCAAAGAGGAGAACGTGGGCATTCACCAGGTCCTGGATCAGACCCTGTTGGAGCTGAACAACCTCTGAGTTGCCCTGGGGAGCCCCTGTCCCTCTTCCCTACCCCACATGTGCACCCCACTGGCATGCTCAGGATGTCATCAGCTGAACTGTGTCTTGGCCAAATCCACACATCCACTGAGAAGGGAAGCCCTGCAACCTTACACCATGGCTCAGGGGTGTCTTCTCTGTGCACAGCCTGACTGGCTCTGTCCTGTCTTCATGTCCAAATATTAAAGTAGTTTGACAAGATGGATGGCTGTGCTTGGTCCTTGCAGGAGGGCATAGGCACTGGGAGATGTGGTGGGGGTCTCTCTGCCCAGTTCTTGCAAGGAGGCTCTACAGGGTCTTGGGTCCAGAGCGGGATATGGCCAGCATAAGAATGTCCTCCACAGCTGTGGAGGGTTGGGAGCAACAATGCACATGGTTTGGGCTACATTCCCATGTCTCCATCACCTCCTTGTGATGCACTGAAAACCTCCAAACTCAGTCCAAAGTGGTCATCCTCTTCAAGTGCACAATGATAAAGATATGTCACTGATGTGTCCCCTTCCACATCTGGCATGCTACCTGCTTCTGATCCTCAATAATCCCAGTTCCAAAACTCTAATGGTCAACCCTGGGTTTCTCCTGATGTTCTTTGACAGTTGAGACCATGCTCTCCAGTTGCAGTGTAGAGGATATTTTGCAAACAGGCCCAAGAGCTACTGCATGGGCTATCTCCTGTTTGATCTGCTCAAAGGCCTGTTGTTGCTCAAGGCCCCACTCAAAATGGTTTTTCTTCCATGTCACTCAATAGAGGGGGCTCACAAGCTGACTATAACCTGGAACGTGCATCCTCCAGAACCTCAAAAGGCCTAGGAAAGCTTGTACTTCCTTCTTGTTAGCCGGTGGAGACGTAGATGCTATTTTGTTCACCATATCCATGGGCACGTAAGGGTGTCCATCCTGCCATTTTATTCCCAAGAACTGGATCTCCCATGTGGGTATCTTTACCTTACTTTGTTTTATGGCAAAACCAGTTTTCAGAAGAATTTGGCTTATTTTCCTCCCTTTCTCAAAAACTTCTGCTGTCTTGCCCCACACTGATATCATCAATATATTACAGGTGTTCTGGAGCTCCCCCCTGTTCCAGTGCAGTCTAGATCAATCCATGGCAGATGGTTTGACTGTGTTTGCACCCCTGGGGTAGTCATTTCTAAGTATACTGGACACCCCCTAAGTGAAGGCGAACTGTGGCCTGCACTCTGTTGCCAGAGGAATGGAGAAAAACGCATTAGTGATATCAGTTGTGGCACCACTTGGCTTCTTTTGACTCCTGCTCATATTGAAGTTCCAACATGTCTGGCATAGCAGCACTCGGAGGTGGTGTGACTTCATTCAGGCCACGATAGTCCACTGTCAGCCTCCACTCCCCATTAGACTTCCACACTGGCCATATGGGGTTGTTAAAGGGTGAGTGGGTCCTGCTGATCACTCCTTGTTTCTCCAGTTGATGAATTAGCTCATGGATGGGAATTATGGAATCTCGGTTGGTGCGATAATGCTGTTGGTGCACTGTTCTGATAGCAATTGGCACTTGTTGGTCTTCAACTTGCAGCAATTCCACAACTAAGGGATCTTCTGAGAGGCCAGACAGATCAGATTATTGTTTGATTTTCTCTGTATTCACAGGAGCTACATAACAGGGTTTGAGGGAGATACGGTCTCCGCTGTCCATCTCTCAGGGATGGAATCAGGCTGCAGCAAGCCCAGTGCAGAGTAACACGGCACGCAGGCAATCCTGTAGCAAAGAGGCTTTATTCAAGTTTCCCACAGCTTATAAGTCTGCTGGGAGGAAGGGAGGGGCTTGGCCACTCGACTAGCCAACGGGAGGAGACAGGAGATTAAGACCCAATAAGAACCCAGGAACTGAAGAGAGACAAGTGGGACAACCCACTAACTTGGGGTTAGAACAGGGGCAGGGGCTGGCTCAGTGAACAGGATCGAGATGGAGCCACCCAGGGAAGCCACGTGGGGGGTGAATGAGATTTTACACAGCATAGGGAGTTCCCGTACAATAAATCTGCGATGCCTGAGTTTAAACTGTGTTTTTCTGTGTTGACTTCGGGAAACTGCATCTGCATTGGTTTTTCCTCTAAAGATGTTGTTTCCAAAGTTTGTAGTCTGAGCTGTCTCTCACAGCTACATCAAAAACCCATTGATACCCCTTGGGATCTTTGAAGTATTCCCTCCTGAGGTAATCAATGCCAAGGATATAAGGGGTCTCTGGGCCAGTGAGAATGGGGTGCTTTTCTCACTTGTCCCCTGTTAAACTCACTTCAGCCTCCAATACCCATAATTCCTGGCATCCCCCTGTCACTCCAGAGATCCAGATATGTTCCAAACTCCTGTCTATTGATGGCATCACTGTGCACTGTGCACCAGTATCCACCAAAGCTCTATACCTCTGTGGATCCGATGTGCCAGGTCATCGAATCTGTGAAAAATTGAGGAACTGATTTTATTCCAAGCAAATGAAAATGAACAGAGGGTACTAACAAAAGAACTATTTCTGTATATTTACTAACTTATAGGTGTACCATGGAGACTGTAAGGTGAAGGGTCCTATCTGGACCTCTCACCAGGGAATCTTTCGCGACCAAGAACAGGGAACAAATCATGAATAAAAATGTATTCCTCTGTGCCATGTGAAAACACAGAGAGACCCTCCATGTCTTGCAACGTGGGTATGATGCAAGACCCCCTTGTACGAGCCCAGGGGAGGTATGTTACAACCAGCCAAAAGGTAACACCCACTTCCAAAGCAGAGAAATTACCTTTTAAGGCAATAAACGGACAGTAAATGAATATTCAACAACTGATACCAAAGGGTACAAAAACCCACAGTTTTCAAACAACGGTGTGCTCTTTGTATGATTCAAAGGTGCACCCAATGCTAAAATGGGTACCTAAGCGCTGTAATAAAAATCTTTTACTATATTTCTTTGTCCTGCAGGTATTTTTACCGTCTTCAAAATTCCAGAGAAAAAGTAACTTATAACAATTTGGGGGCTCGTCTGGGATCCTCATCCGGTGGCTCTGGGTAAGAAGACCCATGTACCAGGAAGGTGCACCCTGCCAAATTTTGGTGGTTCTGGGACGGGGGCCTTCTTTTCAGAGCGACTGCAACAAAAGGACCCTGAGACAGATGGCTGCAGAACAAAGAAAGCAGGAAAAAATTGGACACATGAAAATTGGTAAGGGCTATTTTAATTCAAGAGGGCTAAAACTACAGGGTGTGTGTATGTGTGTGTGTGAATGAGACGTGCAACTGAGCATGGGGCGAGAGTGGAGTTCTTCTAACTGCATTTCCAAGCTTCCGCGAGGAACTTGACCAGTGAAGGAACGAAGTGCTTGTTGAGACATAAGAATGAAATACTCTCTGGGGTAGAAATGGGGAAAAACATTAAACACAAAAAGCATAATCCAAAACCAGTGAAAATAGCACGATAAGAGAAATTTAACAAAAAACCAAAACCACACCTGTCAGGGGCCGGGGTGTCTGCGGGGAGGACCGGTAAAAACCCTTAAGTGGCGCCGAGCTAGTGCGGGGATCCACGCGGCGTCTGGAGTGAGGCCGATCCGTGACTGAGTGAAGATGACTATGAAGACAGAGATGACAGCGTTTCCCGAGACTACAGAGACACACCAGTAAAGCGATCTAGACCACGAGCTCGACCTCAGTCTCGATCTTGGTCCAGATCTTGGTCAACAACTCCTCCCCCTACACACAGAAGGAAGGGCCCTAAATGCGAATCACGTAATCAGCTGTGGTCCTACCTGTGCAAACAGGGAGAGAACATGAAGAAATGGGATAGACAACCCACTTCCAAACTTCAGGCTAGAGTGAAAGAGCTGAAGCAGAAGGAAGCCAATAAGAAACTTGTCTTTGTAGTTGATGTGGATTTCGTGGAAAAGCAATTGCGATCTCCACAACACAAGAAGGCTGAAGTCCACTTTCCTGACAACAAGAAGGCCCCCTCCTCCCCGGCTTGGGCTGGGGGGGGCAGGAAGGGGGGAATTGTCGTGGTTTTGCCCACCAGCCCATCCCTGGGGCTGAGGATGGTTTTGTTTAGGTGATTTCTGGACAAAAAACCAATCAAAAAGTTCAGTGACGCTTTTGCTAATTACATCTTTAAGAAAACGGAAGAGAAAGGTTGGTGGTGCAGTTGAAATTAAGAGCAGCAGCCATGTAGAAGGGTAGCGGGCCCGAGGAGGGCCAAGGCCCCCTCCTCCCCCGGCTTGGGCCGGGGGGGGCAGGTGTAGTACTGAAGCTTCCCTTCTCTCTTGTGAGAGAGTGAAGAAAAAAAAAAGTTTAAAAGACGAACTGCTTAGATGAAAAATCACTGCAGAAGAATTCCAGCCATGAGATAACAGGACTTCCAAGGTCAAAGCTGGCAGCTGAAGCTGCAACAGGAGAGAGAAGGAAAGTTCGAAGGGGGGGAGAGCTGCTTTTTTTTCTTCCTTTCACTCTCCTTCCCTTCAGCAGGGTAAAGACTGAAAAATAAAACCCTGCCACTTGTGAAAGTTTGTTGGGGTGAAGAGACCCCCCATGTGGCTCACAGAGGAGCTTGTGGATGCACCAGAGATTTGTGACTTTAACAGAAAGAGAAAAGCCTTATGCTGGAGCAGGAGCGGCTCGGATGAGGCAGAGTCCTGTTAAAGACTTTGTGACTTTCAAAGGGATCGATGCTAATGTTGAAGCGAGACGGCTCAGATAAGCTTGGGATCTCAGTGAGAGATCCATACTGTTGCTGTTAAAGATTTATAACCCTGAGGGGGATGACGACCTACGCTGGAACAGAGAAACGGTTCGGGTAGGGATGTTGGGATCCATGTGTGGGATCCATGCTGCTGGTGCTGGAGATTTGTGATCCTGAAAGAACCTACGCTGGAGCAGAAAATGGCTCAGGTGGGATATTGGGATCCGAGTAAGGGATCCAGACTAGACCCATGCCGAGAAGTCAATCAAGGACTGTTCTCTCATGGGGAGGGACCTCCATAGGGAAACAGGGGTGAACTCTTAAACCATTATCCCCTGTAACCCTGTGGAAGAAGATCCATAGTAAGCAAGTGTCCCCTTGCAAGCCTATGGAAGGAGACCCTTCAGGACCTGGGTAACCCCCAGCCTTCGGTTTTAACCCAGGAGGGGGGTAGACCCAGCCCTGAAGGCCAACACAGAATGAGAGAGAAATAAAGAAGTTCCAACT